CTGGGGAGGGGGCTGGAGTGGTTTGCTCAGGTTCTCAGTGGCATGCTTTGGCCATACTTCTCCTTTAAGTGATCATTCTTAAGTCTAGTTTCTATAGCAACCACTTGGAATGTCAGCTTTAGCGCACTGAATTCTAATTGGTTCTGTTTTTTAGAATTAAGTACTCTATTACTTGAGGATATGGAATTGTAGACAATTTCCAATCTGTGCAACAACAGACTGCCTCAGAATTTGGGCAATTAGCAGTTGGCCATGTATTGGTTTGGGTAAGGCTGTCATATGGATCGACAGATATAACCCAGGCATGTTCTGTAAAGATGTTTGACTCAAAGATGATATCAACAAACAAGGGAGCTTGTCATAGGAGAAACATGAAGGTCGCAATGGCTGACTTCACCTTCTGAAAATGCTTGCTGTCTGGCAGTCATAATGACACTCTGGAGTGAAAAGATTGACTTCCTGACCTGCAAATGAATAAGGACATTTCTTTGACTTGCTTGATCAGTATTCTTGCTCTAGACCAGCAATTCAGAAAGAATTGTGAGCCAGTAGGGCAAAAGCCACACAAATACAGTATGTTGCAAAAGGAGTTAGATAAGTTTACTTCAAAGGTGTCTGGTGACATTTCCTCCAGTATAAGGGATTAAATGAGGAAATCAAGCCCCAAACAGGAAATGTGCAAGGCATTAGCCAAAAATTCATAATACGTATAATATGTATACCATGCATAAATGTATTTATTACAGGTATTTTCAGGAGTGGGCTCAGCACAGGTGGTGCTGGGGCTCACCTGCCTTGTGGGCTGCAGTACCAGTGCTGGCCAGCGGGTGCTCTCAGCAGCCAGAATCTCACTCCTGCAATCAAGCCATCACCTGAGGCTGATTGCAGGAGGTGTATTTAAGCAATGGCCAGGCCTGCAGTCAGTGCCTTGGTGTTTGTTCCAATGAGCCCCTGTACCTAACATTCCTGCCTGACATTCCTGCCTGATCTATACTCTGCTTGAACTCTGCCTGCATCGACCCCAGCTATTCCTGACCACTCTCCTGCCTGCTCCTTTGTACCTTGTCTGCCTGATAGTTACCGACCCGGCCTGCCTGACTACGCTTGTGTTCCCGCACATATTGTGATCTGTTGGAGGTTTGGTTTTTGCACTGTGTGTTTGGGTTACTGTATAGCCTTCAATAAATTATATTGTTTTACACCATACTTGACGCCTGCGTTTCCCTGTGTCAGTCCACACATCTCTGGTCATACCCGGATCCCTGACATAGCACCAAGGCCAATCCTGACCAGAAGTGGCTGCACAGGGAAGCCATCTTGGCTTGTTGTTGTGGAAGGATGCATCTGGAGGAAGTTGTGTACTTGTCTCTGCTAGCAATAGAAGACAGAGAGTACTGCTGTCATATTCTGAAGAAGTATGCCAGGGATCAGCTGCTAGAGTGCATGCAAGTTGCTCATTCACTAGTAGACCAGGGCATGGAGTTTTCTGAGGTGCAGCCATTGATCCAGGCTTATGCTGAATTGGCTTTATCTAGTACCCCTGAAAGCAGGGATGACTTTTTTCCACCATTTAATGCAGATCTAGTAGAGTCACTGGTATGATTGTTGGAGGATGATCCAGATTGCTTCCGTGAGCATTATTGAGCTTGTCCATCACATATGCTTGTGGATTGTATAAACGCAGTGCAGTCTTTGGTCAGACAGGCTACATGTAAGCTAAGCTTTGTTCAACCGGTATTACAGACATGGTCAGACTTGTTACACCCAGCCTCAGTCAGCTTGCAAAAACCCAGTCCTGCTTCTAATCCATTTTCTCAAAGCTCTATTCCTGCATTCCCGACAGCACCTCCAGTTCCAGTCCAGTATACCCTGCTATCAACCACATGTCAGTACCCTGTTCCCACTCGCTGCACCTATCCTGCCTTTACCAGTGTAAAAAAACCCTCTGTAGCAACTGCTCCCTCCTCTGTTCCATCCTCTGGCTCTTCTCTGTCTTCAGCTGCTCCCTCCGTTTACAGACCTGCATTTACTTACAGTGCTTCAGTAACTAAACCCAAGAATAAGCGAAAATTCTTTCCAACCAGTACCATCTGCCAGTATCCAAATCGGTCAGCATGCTGTCTGAGAACCTGCCTTCTGTTGTCCAGCCGAATGCCCTGATGCCTGATGGCCCGATCCAGCCTGATGGCCCGATCCAGCCTGATGACCCGGTGCCCGCGGTCCTGCCAGATGACCCGGTGCCCGCGGTCCTGCCAGATGACCCGGTGCCCGCTGTCCTGCCTGTTGACCCAGTGCCCGCTGTTCAGTCTGATGCCCTGATGCCTGATGACCCAGTGTACGCTACCCGGCCTGATGATCCCACCCGGCCTGATGATCCTACCCGGCCTGATGATCTGGTGCCCGCTACCCAGCCTAATGATCCTATCCGGCCTGATGACCCGATGTCCCTTATCCAGCCGGATGCTCCGGTGTCCGTCATCCAGCCTGATGCCTCAGTGTCCGTTATCCAGCCTGAGGAACCGATAACTACCGCTCAGCCTGATGTCCCGGTGCCTGCTGCCCAGCCTGATGTCCCGATGCCTGCTGCCCAGCCTGATGTCCCGGTGCCTGCTGCCCAGCCTGAGGAATCGATAACTACCGCTCAGCCTGATGTCCCGGTGCCTGCTGCCCAGCCTGATGTCCCGGTGCCTGCTGCCCAGCCTGATGTCCCGGTGCCTGCTGCCCAGCCTGATGTCCCGGTGCCTGCTGCCCAGCCTGATGTCCTGGTGCCTGCGGCCCAGCCTGATGTCCCGGTGCCTGCGGCCCAGCCTGATGACCCGGTGCCTGCTGCCCAGCCTGATGTCCCGGTGCCTGCTGCCCAGCCTGATGTCCCGGTGCCTGCTGCCCAGCCTGATGTCCCGGTGCCTGCTGCCCAGCCTGATGTCCCGGTGCCTGCTGCCAGCCTGATGTCCCGGTGCCTGCTGCCAGCCTGATGTCCCAGTGCCTGCTGCCCAGCCTTATGTGCCTCTGTCCGCTGCCCAGCCTGACGTGCCTCTCTCTGCTTTCCAGCCTGACGTGCCAGCTCCTGATGCCCTGCTTCTGGAAATCCTGTGTCCAGCAGCAACCTGCCTTCCTGCGGTCTCCTGCAAAAAGATAGGCCTATCAGCAGGAGACCCAGCCAGTCACTTGATTCCAGCAGTGGGATGTCCAGCCAGTTACCGGACACAGGCGGTGGAACATTGGGGCCATTATGGACTGTTTTGAGCGTCCTGAGGCCGCTCCTTGAGGGGGGGGGGGGGGGGGGGGGGGGGGGGGGGGGTACTGTCAGGAATGGGCTCAGCACAGGTGGTGCTGGGGCTCACCTGTCTTGTGGGCTGCAGTACCAGTGCTGGCCAGAGGGTGCTCTCAGCAGCCAGGATCTCACTCCTGCAGTCAAGCCATCACCTGAGGCTGATTGCAGGAGGTGTATTTAAGCAATAGCCAGGCCTGCAAACAGTGCCTTGGTGTTTGTTCCCATGAGCCCCTGTACCTGCATCCTATTTGCTTTCTGCCTGACATTCCTGCCTGATCTTGACTCTGCTTGAACTCTGCCTGCACCGACCCCGGCTATTCCTGACCACTCTCCTGCCTGCTCCTTTGTACCTTGTCTGCCCGATAGTTACCGACCCGGCCTGCCTGACTACGCTCGTGTTCCCGCACATACTGGGATCTGTTGGAGGTTTGGTTTTGCACTGTATGTTTGGGTTACTGTATAGCCTTCAATATATTATTTTGTTTTACACCATACTTGAAGCCTGTGTTTCCCTGTGTCAGTCCACATATCTCTGGTCATACCTGGAGCCCTGACAGGTATTTATATAGCACCAATGGTTAATGCAGTGCTTTAGAATCTGAATCCGCACACATCAGTCCCTTGTCTAGCACACCTATTGTCACCGTTTGGAGTCAGGCCCGGAGACCAGTAACTATAGCAGTAGAGACCAGATGGATAAGCAGGTCAACCTGACACACACGAGGTGCGGGGTCTAAGCACTAACCGGTATTTACCAGAGCTCCTAATGGTGGAGATGGGTTTTGCTGCGTGTTAGTACCAGGTCATGGTCTTCAGGATTGCCCCACGAGGAGGTGAGCAAGCCAGGGTCCAGTAACAGATATAGCGGGTAAGGATAAAGCAGAAGTGCAGTTGTAAACAAGCCTAAGGTCGGTAACAAGTGGTTGCAGGTTGGGATCAAGCAGTAAGCTCCAAGGAGCAGGACCCCTCCTAACCCTCTTGTATTGTAAAGTGCTGAGCAAACTGTTGGCGCTATATAAATCCTGTATAATAATAATAATAAAAAGCAGAAGGGTAGTCGAGGAGCAAACCAAACGTCAGAAACGAGTAGTAGTGGAGATAAGGGCAGTTGCAGGTATGCATAAGAGCAACATATTGGCTGGAGAGAGCACACTAAGTTGGAAGTTCATGGGAAGAGCAAGGATTTCAATGTTTACCAGAAACAAGGTACAAGGCAAGATTAACCAAGGGTTCAGACAGGACACTGTACAGCATATCAGGTGGCTCAGCAAGGAGACCTATTGTCAGTTGCATCAGAGGTCGCGGGTTCAGATCCTGGTCCTAAGGCTATGAATGATGGAGGGGGGTGGAAAAAAGGCAGACATAGTTGAGTGTCTATGAGAGATCCAATATCTTCAACTGCATGGTCAAAATACTGTAACTAAGAACACATTTTTCCCATTCTGTATTTTGATTGCCTGAAGTTCCTGACCTATACCTACATATTGTATGCATTAGGCTGCTCCCACATGATGGGCGGATTAGATAATTGCACAAATAATTTGATGTATGGGTGTTTCTCAGAAATTGCTTGATGACTGTATATTGATGATCAAACTTGATGACTGTCAACTGGCAATGGCCCACAGTCATTTTACTGCAGATTGTTATAAGTGGCCTGTATAACCCCTGCCAGATATTTGTGTTCTTTGTTTGCTTATCATATGTTGTTTTTTCTCCCTCTCCACAGGTTGTATTCAGACTATTTGTACTTCGCTATTGCAAACAAGTCTGCCGAGGACTTCAATGACAAAGTGAATGAGTCTCTGCAGATGTTTGACAGCTGCCTGCAAGGCTCTTCTCTCCGAGCTTGTGCTTACAACAACAACACCACCTTCAGTAACATCCTACCGGTATGTAGACATCTCTCCTGGGAAATCACGGTGCACAGTCAGAGCCTCTTACATCTGTTCTAATCCGGAGCTGAGGAAAATGACACATGCTGTTACAACAGGGATTTGGAGAGCTGTGTGTCATTAGCCTTGGCTTGCTTATTCCCTGCATGCCACAGAATGCTTTAATAGAAGCTCTAGTGTAATCTCTACAAGTACACATTGTGGCTAGTTATTGAAACATTTACTTACCTGAAAGTCATTTTTATTGTGACTTTCACAACATAAGCACCCCATTCAAGGAGAACCATTTATCTGGCACTCTATTATTCATACAGGTTTATTTCAAGTGGCACAGATGTGTATGGATGTGTCTTGCCTGCCACAAATGTGTATTGCCCTCCATTCAATTTTCTAATCCAGACACCCCCCTAAGATAGCACAATCAGTTTGTGACCTCCCATTTCTATACTGTAGTTAGACCAAGGCAGTTTGGTCAGGGTCCGCCTTGGCTTGTGATTGGATAGTGAGGAGCAGCAGTGCCCTGGCTTCAGGTCAGCACTGTGCCCTCCCTTGTGTCAGCCAGTTCCCTGTACAGTGTGCAATGCAGTAGAACCTGCATGGTTTATAGTGTTCCTTCTTTCTTTTCCAGCCTGAATCCCGCTGTGCAGGCAACCAAAGCAGGCTGATAAAATTACATGGTGAGGTACCATTTAATACACATTTATAGTCCAACTCTAGAAATCCATCCTTGCAGTGACTCACCCCCACACTGCAAGGGTTAAATATTTTTTATGTCTAGGGCAGGGTTTCTCAACCAGAGTTTCTCTAGAGAAGAGGTCTCCAAACTGTGGCCCGGTGGCCAGATGCGGCCCTTTGCTTGCCTTTATCTGGCCCTTGAGGAATTATCCTCCCACTGACATTATCAGTGGGGCATTATTCCTTCTACTGACGCCAAGGATGGGGCATTATTCCTTCCACTGACGCCAAGGATGGGGCACTATTCCTTCCACTGTCACCAAGGATGGGGCACTATTCCTCCCACTGTCACCAAGGATAGGGCATTAGTTCTCCCACCGACACCAAGGATGGGGCACTATTCCACCCACTGACACCACGGATGGGACAGTATTCCTCCCACTGACTCCAAGAAAGGGCCACTATTCCTCCCACTGACTCCAAGAAAGGGCCACTATTCCTCCCACTGACACCAAGAATGGGGCACTATTCCTCCCCCTAACAGCAAGGATGGGGCACTATTTCTCCCACTGACACCAAGAATGGGGCACTATTACTGACTCCAGGACATTTTCTACTCCCTTTGTCCACAGTCTGGCCCTTCTAAAGTCTGAAGGATAGTAAACTGGTCCTTTGTTAAGAAAGTTTGGAGACCACTGCTCTAGAGCAGTGATGGCGAACCTTTTAGAGACCGAGTGCCCAAACTGCAACCCAAAATCCACATATTTATCACAAAGTTCCAACACTGCAAATAAACCTAAATACTGAGGTTTTAGTTCCACTGACCACCAGCACAAGGGGCAAAGTTCCACTGACCACCAGCACAAGGGGGCAAAGTTCTACTGACCACCAGCACAAGGGAGCAAAGTTCTACTGACCACCAGAACAAGGGGGCAAAGATCCACTGACCACCAGCATGAGGGGGCAAAGTTCCACTGACCACCAGCACAAGGGGGCAAAGTTCCACTGACCACCAGTACAAGGAAGCAAAGTTCCACTGACCACCAGCACAGAGGGGCAATGTTCCACTGACCACCAGCTTTTGGCCTGCTCTGAAAAGGCATCTGAGTGCGTTTCCTGACTTTTGGGGGCTTTATATATATATATATATATATATATATATATATATATATATATATATATATATATAAAATTTCCTTGGCAGTGCACTGACCGGCCATGCAAAAGCTCAGACGAGTCACGGCTTCTCAGCATGTGCATTGGCCCCTATGTGTGCCGTTATCCAATACTCAGCTGCTGAAGTGAGGCTGGGGCAACTTGGCTAGCATGTTGACAGAGAGGACTCTGTGCGCCCGCTGCAGCATGTGCACCATAGGTTTGCCACCACTGCTCTAGAGGTTGCTTAGGCTTTCTTGAGCAATTTCTGCCTCTCAGATAAGTTCCAATTGACACCATTGATCTTTTTAGCTTTCTGTAAGGGGGTAAGTCTTCCCAATGATCAGAAGTGTAAGGAGCATTCTTCCCACTGAATATAACACCACTGGATCATGAGTTGTAGATTTAGTAATTTTTTTAGCAGGGGTTCCCTTAGCCTAAAAAGATATTTCCAGGGTTCTTCTGTGTTGAAATGATTGAGAAAGGCTGGTCTAGGGGGTAGAAACAGAAGCAGTATTACATGCCCTAACCCTTGCTCTGGCCCTGTCCTCTTCTCCCAGCAGCTCTGGTCTGTGGCAACCCCTCTTTCTAATCATGTACAATGAAGAGCTATGAACTCTGCATTTTACATAGAGGGGGTAGGAGTGCGACCCTGGCCTTGACCAGCTTAGAGCGGAGGCTCCAGTGACCTAGGCACATTACTGGACGGAGCCTGCTGGAGCAAGGAATAATATAAGTATTTCCCCTTATTTTGGCACCCCTAGACATAACAAGCATGTAACCCTCGCAGTATAGGGGGTGAAGGGGGGTGGGAAGCCAGGGTTGCCACTGCAAGGGTAAGTTTTTTTTTTTTTTTAATTAATGAACACATAACTTAAAGCGGAGCTCCACCCAAAAGGGGAAGTTCCGCTTTAATGCTTTGTCTCCTGCTCCCTATTAAGGATTGGCACCTTTGGGGAGCGGGTACCTGAATTTGACAGGTACCCTCTTCCTCCTCCCTCCCCATAGTCTTCTGGGACACACGACAGGTCCCAGAAGACTACAGGACCATTCACAAAGTGCAGCACTTCTCGCGCATGCAGTGGCACCTGGCTGTGAAGCAGCAAGCTGTCACAGCCAAGTGCCCACACTGAAGATGCCGGCACAAGGAAGAGAAGACGGCCGGTGAAACCAGTGTTGGTGAGGACACTGCTGGACCGAGGGTCAAGTAAGTGTCTGTATTTTAAAAGTCAGCAGCTACAGTTTTTGTAGCTGCTGACTTTTATTTTTTTTTTTCAGGTGGAACTCCACTTTAAGTCAAATGCGTGGATTTTGTATCTGCCAACAATTCCCCTTTTAACAAGACAAAGAACAATTCACCTCTCACTGGTCTGATTATGGTAAACTAAAATTGGGCAGGTTGCTATAGACTACTCTACTTTACACAACATCATTGCTATTGGTTTTGCCTAATTTAAATGGCCTTTCCACTTAAAATTGATATTCTGTTTTGGATGGATGCTGGTGGACTAATTTAATCTTTGGTTCTTATGCCTCTCTGGAACTGTTGTAGCAAGATCTGTCATTGCATTTTTGAGTATCAGTCTGCTGGGGGAGTGTTAAAGTGGTACTAAACCCAAATAAAAACATTTATTATATTGCAGCAATTCTTACATGTGATGGTTGCATTCATTTTATTTTTTAGGCTTTCTTCCTTTATTTTAATGTGATGATCATGCCAGTTTGCCATGTTGTTTTACAACAGAACAAGCTGTCCTGGAGTTGTAGCTGTTAGAGGGCTGAGACAAACCATTTACCACTGACATGGGTACTTACAATGGTCAGCTTTTATTTATGTAAAAACTTTATCTCAAAAGGAAAAAAAACTGTTTTCCATAACTGGTTAAAAGTGTTTAGCTGGAGTTTGGCTTCAATTTATTAGTGTATATTAATCTGCTAGTACATTTAGCATTCCCCTCCCCCCCAGACTGACAATGTTGCTGTCCAAAGGTGCCCCTGTGCTCCTTCATCCAGAGTGCAGGCACTCTAATACAGGTGGTGTGTTACTGGCCAGCAAACAAGAGATCCCTGTGCTCAAATCCCAACAGCTAGTGCATGCATTTATCCATCAGGTGCTAAAGGGGTGTAACCACATATTAACACTAGAAATTCTGAAGACCCTCTGCACACTGGTATTCCAGTGTGCAGAGGGTCTTCAGAATTTCTAGTGTTACTGGCCAGGTCACCAGATGACAATAGAAAGGAAAAAAAATCCTAAAGAAGGAAAACTAATGCAGCCACCACATCTAACGATTGGCAATCTGCAATATATTACATTTTTGATTTTGGGTTTAATACCCTGTTAACTTTTCCAGCAGGATTTCAATGTGTTTTATATGGTGGAGGATGCAAAATAATCAGTAAGACATCCCCAGAAGGAGGTGGATGGTTAACATGCCATTACAGGGTGTAGAAGTGTGTTGGGGGATTCTACAGAGCTTGAAACGCGATCACGGTTGGCCCACTGTTGGAGTCTCGGAGCTGTAAGAAGTCTGTGGTTAAACCACCCAGTAGTCTACACCCATAACCACATATAAGCTTTGGATGGGTCAACACTGAAAATGTTAGATCAAGTAGATATCTGTGATTTAAGATGCAAAAAAAAGAGTTAAGGTGGAGAAAATATATATTTGCTTGGTGCAGACATACAGCACATCTATGTCATACTCAAAGAAAAATCGATTAAAAAAATTAATTAGGCCTAACATAATATATGACAATTCAATGTAATAAGGAAGAGGCAAATTGGAAAAAATGGTTGGAGCAGTGATGAACATCAAGCAATCATCCTGGACCCAAGGGCAGGGGACGCGTCTGCAATGTGCTGCTGCATAAGCTCAAGGTGACGCAATTGAGGCTATGGTACAGCGATGTTTAGTGATTTTAGGATATGATCTCTGGAACTTAATGTAAAACTTAAGAAATGCTTTTCTTTTTTTTATATATTTTTTTTATTAATTTAATTTACAAACAGATAAAAAAGAAGAACTCACAGAACATCATTCCATAAAGCTCATTTTACAATGCATTATATGAATTAGGACAATTACATAAAAAGAAATTAGAAATAAATATGCAACAGAAGATAACATTAAAAAGAGAAGGACCAAGAAATGCTTTCTGGCCTG